GTCTGTCCTACCCATCAGGCCTAGGGATTGATTCCCTAGGCCAGAGCTCCGCCTTTCTGGCACTTACCCTCTTTCCAGACTTAGGTCCAATCCCTGTCTCTCCAACTCTACCTTAGGGTAGTCCACCTCTGTTTGTTTCTACATTGGACTTCATCTGATGTAGCCCCTATTCCTTCCGGACCTCCTGTCCCTTGTACCTCCAGGCATCCTGTCCTTCGGACATTCTGCCCTCCATACCTTCAGATGTTCTGTCCTCCTAACCCTCGGACATCCTATCCTCCTGTCCTTCGGACATCCTGCCCTCTGTACCTCCAGACATCCTGTCCCTCTGTCCTCCATCATCCTGCCCTCCTGTCCTCCTGTCCTCCTGTCCTCCTGTCCTCCTGTCCTCCTGTCCTCCTGTCCTCCTGTCCTCCTGTCCTCCATCATCCTGCCCTCCTGTCCTCCTGTCCTCCTGTCCTCCTGTCCTCCTGTCCTCCTGTCCTCCTGTCCTCCTGTCCTCCTGTCCTCCTGTCCTCCTGTCCTCCATCATCCTGCCCTCCTGTCCTCCTGTCCTCCTGTCCTCCTGTCCTCCTGTCCTCCTGTCCTCCTGTCCTCCTGTCCTCCTGTCCTCCTGTCCTCCTGTCCTCCTGTCCTCCATCATCCTGCCCTCCTGTCCTCCTGTCCTCCTGTCCTCCTGTCCTCCTGTCCTCCTGTCCTCCTGTCCTCCTGTCCTCCATCATCCTGCCCTCCTGTCCTCCTGTCCTCCTGTCCTCCTGTCCTCCTGTCCTCCTGTCCTCCTGTCCTCCTGTCCTCCTGTCCTCCTGTCCTCCTGTCCTCCATCATCCTGCCCTCCTGTCCTCCTGTCCTCCTGTCCTCCTGTCCTCCTGTCCTCCTGTCCTCCTGTCCTCCTGTCCTCCAGTCCTCCAGACCTTTGGACCTCCTATCCTTCCATCCTGTTTCCTGTAGAAGTATTACCTTGCAGTGGGAACTGTCCTGAGCACTTCCTGCATTCCTCTGGAACTCTCCCGCGCTCCTCCGGACGTTTCCTGCACTCCTCCGGAAGTCCTCTAGCACTCTCCAGCAGAGTAGCCAGCCTCCGGAAGTCCTCCAGACTTTGTTGGACCATCATCGGACCTCATACGAAATGAAGGGCACATACTCGGGTAAGGGGCACAGCATATGAGCTGAGGCCAAGCCCCTCTGAGTCAGTCTCTCTCCCCCTTGAGCAACATGGTTCTTAACATATTCCATGCATAGTGGAAACCCTAGCATAGAGGGCATTGAAGGTTCAACAGCTCTGCTGGGCTTGTAGAGCTAAAGAAAGAAAGATGGTTCTCTACCTCTGGGGTGAGAGGAAAGCCTACTGACTCTCTAAATGTTGGTTGAAATGTGCCAGGCGATATGTTCAACCCTTAAGGGAAGCAAGGACAGCAAGTATCTCACAAATGAACAGATTGACCAAAGCTTGTGTTGGTCAATATCAGAAAACTAGGTGAGAAGCTGGTCTCAAATAAACCAAGTTTCTATCATAAGAAACTTATGTAATCTCAAGGGAATGTCTTTTCTCTGCACTTGGTACTTCAAAGGGGCTTTCTTTGTAAGCAACAATCTTCACAGTGAGTAGCTCAAACTGAGATTCAAATGATTGCAAGTGGGAGATCCTATTTTTTGGGGGAGAATGGGCCCTCCTTATATACATTTTGTGTGGGAATATTATGTAAGTAAAAAAGCGGAGCAACGACATCAGAAGTGGGGCAGAACATTCCAGAATATTCCATAGGTGGAGTAATGACATCAGAGGTGAGTCATTGTGGAGCAGAACATTCCAGAACAAATGACATCATCATGACATCATAACTTTCAACAGAATACTTGCAGGAGTATCTGTGGAGCCATATGACATCATTATGACATCATACCCTGTAGGTACAATTTTGTGAAGTATCTGATGGGTCAGAGCATCCCAATAGAAAAATAAATCAAGGAAATACTAGAGAAAACAACTCAGAAATAATAATACAATAACAAGACACAAAACACAGGCTTTTTAGATAGGTTTTTGTTAGGCTTTGAATTTTTCTCTATGGTTTTCTCTAGCCAAAGTGAATAAGCCAAAGGCAAGGCAATACCTTAACCTTCTTGCTTCATAATATCAACTAGTCATTATGTGATTCCCATCTCATAAATGACTTTTCTTCAAGATATAATAAACTCATGAATCACAGAGGGGAAACTGAACTATTTGACCAAGGTTTGAAACCAAGGCATGGGTTGACTAGTCTGATGCCTAAGCTAACAGACTGTGTCTTTTAGGGGGCTACCTAGTAGTCATGTCCATGCATGATTCCCAAATCATGCAGGACACCAGAGAAGTGGATTTAGAGTTGAGAGTCCGGAATGGTATATGACACCACCTATCTCTGCTGGTGCATTATTTTTCCCAAATATCATTGCTAAATGAGCTGCAGGTCTTATTACACATTACTCATGTCCTGCAGCACATGATGCCTTATTACCTATAGACTCGTCGCATGCTCACTTACTATGCTACAATTCTCACCTACACATTCCAGACCTTCATGCAATATGATAAAATGACCACAGTACATACAATTGAGTAGTTCCCTTTCCCCTGGACTCAGCTCTATAGGAGAGTTGCACTCATGTTATTTTTGTAGACCTTGTGCAATCCATTCTGTTTGCTCATACTTGACAATCTTGTGCAATTCAACTGCTCTGAAGTTCTGCACCACTAGGACCTTATACTTAGGCACTTGCAAGAACACCCAACCCACAACTGGTAACTTAGCATGGTCCTTCTCTTGCGCTATCTATCTTGCATCTGGCTGCTCTATTGAGCACAGTTGATTTCGTGTGTATTATATCTACTGCACCAGTATCTGGCATTTGCTGCACTTGCACATATCCTTTAGTATTCATCTTGCACTTGTGATACTAACACTGGTCAATTCTTTGACGTAGGAATTCAAAGGTATACATACAGCCTGCGCTATAGTTTCTTAGGCTGCTATAGATTTTAACTCCTTCACTCACTTGCTTCCCTTGCTTATATTCAAAGGAAGTGCTTCAATAGCAGTCCTCTTGGGCTGATCTACTGACTCATGCCTCTTAGGATAAGTAGTGCTAGTTGCTAACAGCCTAGTACCAATTTCTACTTCACACTGGCCATGTCATATCTGCATATCTGGATCTCAGATCCAATCCACATCTTATCCCCCTCCAACATCTCATCATCCAATCTGCCCACTTGTCTGGTCCAGTCCACAATTCATCCAAATCCACAACCAGTGCTCATCCCCTTTCGGTAATCCCCTGACTCCGGTATTTTGGTTATCTGTATATCTGTCCTGCTCACTGATCTGTTACCTATGCTTCATTTCCATTTCATTATTTGTGATCTGTTCCTACTTACCAATAGACTATCCATATGCTTTGTACATAGCCTTGGATCCTGCTGATTGATCATTCTGTTAGATACCTATAGTATATAACCTCCTGTAAATCTCTGTAACACCTCAGTTCAAATATCAACTTAGTTCTGCTCATTCCTGTCCTCTGGACCTGAGTATCTCTACTCTCGTCACTCTCTGAGACTTAGGATTGATTCCTATAGTCTATCCCTATCTGCCTCTGTCTATGACAGTCCACTACTGTTAGTTTCTGGTCTGGACTCATCTGGGCTAGCCTTACAATACTTATCCTCCATCTGGAAGTTGTCCAGATCCAATATGCTACTTGTCCTACCCTCCAGACACGTTAGTCTTGTCCTCCTAAAATAAGGGGCAATACTTGGGTAAGGGGCACAGTGCATGAGCTGAGGCTGAAGCCCTTAGGATCTGTTTAGCCCTTGAGTATGACCTTAACATCATGGCCCTCAACAATTCAGGATACAATGCTAGTTCATCAGGTTGCTAGTAAGACACCTTAACATCCAGCATGCACATTCAAGGTAAGGACTTTTCTATTATGATTTTCAATACATTTAACACTGTCTTACTAGCAACCTGATGAACTAGCATTGTATCCTGAATTGTTGAGGGCCATGATGTTAAGGTCATACTCAAGGGCTAAACAGATCCTAAGGGCTTCAGCCTCAGCTCATGCACTGTGCCCCTTACCCAAGTATTGCCCCTTATTTTAGGAGGACAAGACTAACGTGTCTGGAGGGTAGGACAAGTAGCATATTGGATCTGGACAACTTCCAGATGGAGGATAAGTATTGTAAGGCTAGCCCAGATGAGTCCAGACCAGAAACTAACAGTAGTGGACTGTCATAGACAGAGGCAGATAGGGATAGACTATAGGAATCAATCCTAAGTCTCAGAGAGTGACGAGAGTAGAGATACTCAGGTCCAGAGGACAGGAATGAGCAGAACTAAGTTGATATTTGAACTGAGGTGTTACAGAGATTTACAGGAGGTTATATACTATAGGTATCTAACAGAATGATCAATCAGCAGGATCCAAGGCTATGTACAAAGCATATGGATAGTCTATTGGTAAGTAGGAACAGATCACAAATAATGAAATGGAAATGAAGCATAGGTAACAGATCAGTGAGCAGGACAGATATACAGATAACCAAAATACCGGAGTCAGGGGATTACCGAAAGGGGATGAGCACTGGTTGTGGATTTGGATGAATTGTGGACTGGACCAGACAAGTGGGCAGATTGGATGATGAGATGTTGGAGGGGGATAAGATGTGGATAGGATCAGAAATAAGATGTGGATTGGATCTGAGATGAGATATGGATTGGATCTGAGATCCAGATATGCGGATATGACACATGGATGGCAATAACTTGGCTAAGCAAATGGCAATCACAGGCCATGCAGATTATCGCAAGTTTATGAGTCAGTACATGATCATGTCAGAAGATGTTGATGCTTTCAAGGATGACATTTGCTTACATCCAGGTGAATGGGGCACTGACAGTGACACAAACACCCCTCTTACATGTACTGATGATTGGAAAGCAGCTAATTCAACTAACAAGAACACTGTCAGTATTTTCAAGCAGACAGGAATCTTCCTATCAGTGTGTCGACACAGAATGGTCCAAACAATTGCAGAGATGCGGCATAGTGAGTGAGCTGTATGTTATGCATGCCATTATGATATATCATGTACTAATGTATGTAAACAGTGCAAAGTATCCCCTTGCTACCATCAACAAATTAGTCAATATGTTTGGACACAATCAGGCCATTGGCAGTGACATTGGCTGTAGCTTAGTGAAAACAGTTGCTACAAGCTTGATCCACAACAAGGCTGCAGACCACCACCTAGTTCTCACTGTCAATGCTTTCCATGGACACATGTACAACTGCAAATGTCAACTTTGACATCATCTACTTTATCTTCATGGATTTGGGCTTGAAGACTTGGAGACCTGCAAATGAATCTTTGCAGGTGTCATATGCCATTCTGGGCTCTCAACTCTAAATCTGCTTTTCCATATATCCAGATCTGAGATCCAGATCTCCAATGATCTGATCTATCTTTATCTTCCTTCCAGAATCCAAACCTTATATCAGCACCCAACCCCATTTAGACTTCCCCTGTCTCTGGACTCTGGTTAACTATGTTTCCCTTCTGATTACTGATCCATCACATACATTTCATTTCCAGTATTCATTATTGGTGATCCATCCTACTTACTAATAGACTTTGCATATGCTTCATACATAGCCTTTGTGTTTGCTGACTGATTCCTATATGATACCTACAGTATATAAACCTCCTGTAACTCTCAGAAATACTTCAGTTCAAATATCATCTTAGTTCCTGCTCATTCCTGTGTCCCTCTGGACTTAAGCTAAGTCTCTTATCATCATCCAAGTCTTAGGATTGTATCCTAGACTATACCTCTGGCTCTACCTTATGGTAGTCTATCCTCTGTCAGTTTCTAGTCCAGACTTCGTCCAGATTAGCCTTACCTCCTTGTCCAATCAACATCTGGACAGTCCATTGTCCGCCCTAGTCAAAACTCAGAAACTTCGGACAACTATTCAGCCCCCAGAAATTAAGGGCACATACTCGGGAAAGGGGCACAGCATATGAGCTGAGGCCAAGCCCTTGTGATCCAACCCCCCTTGAGCACATGCACCTTAACAGTATATTTGAACTGATGCCTTTCCAAGTATACTTACATCTATCATGGCTCCTACCAAGACAACAAACCCTCTCCAAGCAGCTGGACTAGTTTCCACCCACTGGGATTCTACTCCTATCATCAAAACCTTCAATAGCTTCTCTCAGTGTCATGTTAGCCAGTGTGATACTGCTGGAAGCATCTCAGAACTCCTTAGTCATCAGCATCCAGAAACCCCTACACAGACTCCAGCCTTAGCCCCTCTGGGCAAAGGAGATCTGGACAATGATGACAATGATGATGATACCCCTGGCGGAAATCCACCGGATGGTGATGGTGGAAATCTGGACAATGATCCAGATGATAATGACAATGACAATGAAAATGATGGCCTGAATCCACAGGACTGCATCATGGTACTCCTATCCTAGAGCTATCAACAACCTCACCTGAAACAATTGTTGCATCACCCTTTCCAAAGATCCTAAAGTCAAAGTCTGTGAGCCAGATGTCTTTGATGGCACTGAGCCCTGGAAACTTCAAGCATTCTTTGTCCAGTGCAAACTCAATTTCCAGAGCAAACCTAACACTTTCTGTACCGGAAGGTCTAAAGTCAACTTCGCCCAATCCTATCTCAAAGGCATGGCCCTTGAATGGTTTGAACCAGACCTCCTTTCTGACAAGAATACTGATCATCCAGACTGGATGGATGATTATTCCAAGTTCATGCTTGAGCTCCAGACCAATTTTGGACCCCATGACCCCTCTGGAGATGCAGAAATGCAGCTTGAGCAACTCAATATGCACGATGGACAGTGCCATCAATAAGTACATTGTGGAATTCCAGCAGCTTGCCTCACAAGTCCACAGATGGGGCAATGGAGCCCTATGCTGACAATTCTATAATGGACTTCTGGCTCATATCAAAGACAAAATCAGCTGCATGGAAAAACCCACTATGCTCCTGGAATATAAGACCCTCACACAAACCATTGATGCATGTTGTTTGGAACGCAAGGGAGAGATCTCCTGTGAAACCAAACCCTCCTCATCTAATCCTCCTAAGCAGTCAACCTCTGACCAGACTAGCTCCCACTCATCCGGATCCAGAGGTAACAAATCCAGAAAATCCACTACATCCTCCACCTTGTCCACTCCAAAAGTCCTGGACCTTACCTCCAAGTTGGGTAAGGATGGAAAACTAACTTCTGAGGAGTGCCAGAGGCATTTGGATCAGAAGCTCTGCTTATTCTGTGGCGGGCCTGGACACACTGCCCAGGATTGCAACAAATTGACATCATGTGCTGCCAAAGGCTACACTGCTACAGTCACTCTGGAAGCCAAACCAGAAGCCTCAGTCTGAGGTGAAAAAATAGTCCATGACCCTCCTGACTCCATATGGGATGGGGGTTGCATTATCTCAACCCATACAATGGAGTTACGTCTTAACAGCTGTCTCTATTTCTGATCCAACTTCACTCTGTCCATATATCATGATTCCAACATATCCCAGTATTTCCAAATTTCCGACTCTTGTAGATTGTGGTTCCTCTCATTGTTTCATAGATACAAATTTCAGTCTAAAAATATAAAATCCCTACATATAGAATCCCTCCACTTCTACTTCATTTATTTGATGGTACTTGTAATAACAATATTTCCAAAGCCATAGACCTCCCTGTCCTGATTTTTGTCCAGTGTAGTTACCTCTGATACATTTTACATTACCCCTTTGGATTCATCTTGTTTCATCATTCTTGGATATAGCTGGCTCACCTGACACAATCCATTGATTGACTGGGCTTTGGGCAGCATCAAATTCTGGATGACTTCTCATGGAATGCCATTGACCCCTCTGACGTCACTTCTGCCTCTGGAAACCCTTCCTCTGGCAGAAATCCCTCCTCTGACTACACCAGAACCTTCTGCTGATAAATCTGGTCCGCATATCTCCCTCATTAATGCAGTTGCCTTTTGCTGGGCCTGCAAGATGGAAGGATCCAAACAGTTCAGCATTTATCTCTGCCCCTCTGGACTGGATCTCTGGTCCACCTCACTCTCATCTGAAGCCCCTAACCTTTCTGGAATACCTCCAGAATATCAGGAGTTTGCAGATGTCTTTGATAAGGGCAAAGCTAGTCAACTTCCTCCTCATTGTCCATATGATCTGAAGATTGATTTGGAAGAAGTAGCTAATCTGCCCATCAGAACTATCTATTCCCTTTCTCCAGTTGAGCTTGAAGCTCTCTGCAAGTTCCTTGATGAGAACATTGCAACCAGACTCCTCTGATCCTCCTCCTCTCCACATGGAGCCCCTGTCCTGTTTGTGAAGAAGAAGGACAGCTCCCTGCGACTTTGTGTGGATTTCCAAGGCCTCAACCAGATCACCAAGAAAGACTGTTATCCCTTGCCTCTCATTTCTGACCTCTTAGACTCTCCAAGCCATGCTAAAGTTTACACCAAAATCAACCTCCAGTATGCCTATCATCTTGTCCAGATAGCAGAAGGGGACAAGTGGAAAACTGCTTTCCGGATGCACTATGGTTCCTATGAATGGTTGGTTATGCTGGATATACAGTGGCTCAAAAAACTGTCTGCATGTTTTGACATTTTTCACTATCTATGATATTGTGTGAGAAGGAACAAATGCCTCAAGGACATGCTTATAGCACATTGTAGTATGGCTTCAGGGCTTTCATTTGAGCCCTACACCGTGGGAATCGGTGGAGATATGGTGGAGATACAAGGCTCACAAAATGGTGACTCATGTGGACAGTTTTTTGAGCACATATTAAAACTATATAAATCATCATTTATGACACCATAACAATCATGCCACCATTAAATAAATTATAAAGTGGTGTCATTATGTCATTTTAAAACCATATCTAACTATACAAACCAAAAATTTCCATATGTCATGGTTATATTCACCATGAAAGCCACCCCCCTGCTCAAAGGGATAATATCCTCTCTCTTTCCTATTCTGGCCTCTCTGCTTGTCAAATTTCCTCTAGAACTGGAGTATCCAAGTCCACTGTGGCCAAGTTCATCAAAGAAAGTCACACAGACAAGGAAAACTTCTGTGAAGGGTGTCCATCCAAGCTCACCTCTACTGATAGGAGGGCTATTGTTCAACATATCACTACAGGAAAGGCTGATAATGCTGTCCAGGTCACCTGTTACATCAATTCCACCATCACATTCCCTGTCTCTTCACACACTGTGAGAAACATTCTCAAGACAGCTCATCTCAGGTCAGTAACAAGGAAGAAAAGGCTCTCCTCTCTATCACACATATGCAGAGAGGACTAGCACCCTTCTTTTTTCACATATATACCTTGCCATCTGACCCAATCCTATTTATTGTGGTCTTATATGATCATATAGCATGCTTCCAGTCCATGTAATCCAATTCTGATGGGCTAAGGCAAAGGTTAGTCATCTCTGTTTATGTGTGATAGAGAGGAGAGCCTTTTCTTCCTTGTTACTGACCTGAGATGAGCTGTCTTGAGAATGTTTCTCACAGTGTGTGAAGAGACAGGGAATGTGATGGTGGAATTGATGTAACAGGTGACCTGGACAGCATTATCAGCCTTTCCTGTAGTGATATGTTGAACAATAGCCCTCCTATCAGTAGAGGTGAGCTTGGATGGACACCCTTCACAGAAGTTTTCCTTGTCTGTGTGACTTTCTTTGATGAACTTGGCCACAGTGGACTTGGATACTCCAGTTCTAGAGGAAATTTGACAAGCAGAGAGGCCAGAATAGGAAAGAGAGAGGATATTATCCCTTTGAGCAGGGGGGTGGCTTTCATGGTGAATATAACCATGACATATGGAAATTTTTGGTTTGTATAGTTAGATATGGTTTTAAAATGACATAATGACACCACTTTATAATTTATTTAATGGTGGCATGATTGTTATGGTGTCATAAATGATGATTTATATAGTTTTAATATGTGCTCAAAAAACTGTCCACATGAGTCACCATTTTGTGAGCCTTGTATCTCCACCATATCTCCACCGATTCCCACGGTGTAGGGCTCAAATGAAAGCCCTGAAGCCATACTACAATGTGCTATAAGCATGTCCTTGAGGCATTTGTTCCTTCTCACACAATATCATAGATAGTGAAAAATGTCAAAACATGCAGACAGTTTTTTGAGCCACTGTACTAGAGGCTATCTAAGAGGATCAGTAAGCAAAGGAGTAAGGCTATGTACAAGCATGTGGAAACACATTGGTA